GTGTGTGTGTGTCTGTGTCTGTGTCTCTATGTGTGTGTGTGTGTCTCTGTGTTGTGTGTGTGTGTCTGTGTGTGTGTGTGTGTCATGTGTGAAATGTCCCACAGTGTGTCTTTAGGACGAGCCTCAGTTTTGGAGGGAAAATCTTTTCTTAATATTTGAAAAACTTGAGCCAATGAAAACACAGATGCTCAGACTTCAGCCAATCAGAGGCCAGCTCCAAACACCGCCAGTCTAAGTCCGTTTAGACACACCCACAGAGTCCAGGTCTAGTCCTGGTCTAGTCCTGGTCCCGGTCTCGGTCTATCTCTGGGCGTGGATCTTGTAGCGCATGACTCCATAGGCGAGCAGACGCAGGCAGAGGTCGTGGTTCTGGTTGTGGTTCTTGTCTCGGTCTCGGTCCTGGTCTCGGTCCTGGTCTTGGTCTCAGTCCTGGTCCTGGTCCAGGTCTATCTCTGGGCGTGGATCTTGTAGCGCAGGACTCCGTAGGCGAGCAGACGCAGGCAGAGGAAGAAGAGGCTGAGCAGGAGGAAGTCTCGGTGGATTTGGGCGCCGCTCATGTCCAGTTCCTCCAGAATCGCCGCCGAGTCTCTGAAACGGCAGGTGTCGCCAGGGTCGCAGTGCAGGGGCGCCCTGTCCAGACCGTAGATCGACAGGATCACACCCTCGAAGCCGTACCTGCCGCGACAGGAGCAGACAGGAGCAGGTCAGTGCGTGGCCCCTCTGAAACCCAGTTCAGTCCTGGTCTGGTCTCTGGTCTCTGGTCTCTGGTCTCTGGTCCTGGTCTCTGGTCCTGGTCTTTGGTCTCTGGTCTCTGGTCCTGGTCTTGGTCTTGGTCTCTGGTCTGGTCTGGTCTCTGGTCTGGTCTGGTCTCTGGTCTCTGGTCCTGGTCTCTGGTCCTGGTCTTTGGTCTCTGGTCTCTGGTCTGGTCTGGTCCTGGTCTCTGGTCCTGGTCTCTGGTCTGGTCTGGTCTCTGGTCTCTGGTCTCTGGTCTCTGGTCCTGGTCTTTGGTCTCTGGTCTCTGGTCCTGGTCTCTGGTCCTGGTCTTTGGTCTCTGGTCTCGGTCCTGGTCTCTGCTCCGGTCCTGGTCTCTGGTCCTGGTCCCGGTCCTGGTCCTGGTCCAGACCTGACGTAGGAGCAGTAGCTCATCCACTGCAGGTACCAGGGGATTGTGTCGAAACTCACGAAGAAACCGGAGAAAAGAAGAACCGGGATCGACGTGACCGGACCCACGAAGGTCGCCACCTGCAGAGGTCATGCAGAGGTCACACAGAGGTCACACAGAGGTCACACAGAGGTCAAAAACAGGTCACACAGGTCACACACAGAGGTCACACACAGAGGTCACACGGAGGATGAGGAGGATGAAGAGCGTGACCTGCAGGGAGGTGGAGGCGGCTCCGATCAAAAGTCCCAGACTTTGGGCCGTGAGCGACGTCATGACCCCGAACGACACAAACAGAAAGAAACGAGCCGCGTCTGCGGGTTGGGACGTCATCCAGTAAACCAGACTACAGTACAGGACCGGAAACAGCACCTGTCACACACACACAGCACCTGTCACACACACCTGTCACACACCAGACTACAGTACAGGACTGGAAACAGCACCTGTCACACACACACAGCACCTGTCACACACACCTGTCACACACCAGACTACAGTACAGGACCGGAAACAGCACCTGTCACACACACACAGCACCTGTCACACACACAGGACCTGTCACCCCTCTTGGGTTTGGGGGAGTCTGACCTTGTAAGTGGCAGGTGCTGCACCCGTCACACTCTGCCAGCTCAGTCTCTGCCGTCGCAGTGCCATCACAGGTATAATACTCCCTACAACAGACGCAGAGCCAAACTGGACAGGACACCATCACTGTGAGGGTGTGACAGGTGCCCTCCTGTGTGTGTCAGGTGCGGTCCTGTGTGTCAGGTGCCCTCCTGTGTGTGTCAGGTGCTCTTCTGTGTGTGTCAGGTGTCCTCCTCGTGTGTCAGGTGCCCTCTCCTTGTGTGTGTCAGGTGCAGTCCTGTGTGTCAGGTGCTCTCCTGTGTGTGTCAGGTGCCCTCTCCTGTGTGTGTCAGGTGCTCTTCTGTGTGTGTCAGGTGCTTTCTCGTGTGTGTCAGGTGCGGTCCTGTGTGTGTCAGGTGCTCTTCTGTGTGTGTCAGGTGTCGTGTGTGTCAGGTGTGGTCCTGTGTGTGTCAGGTGCCCTCCTCGTGTGTGTCAGGTGTCCTCTCTCTGTGTGTCAGGTGTGGTCCTGTACCTGGAAGGGGATGTCGGCTGTGGTCTTGGCGAGGTAATAGGCCTTGAGGCTGTACCAGTAGTTCAGATGTTCCCTCAGAAAAACGCCCATCTCCAGAGGGACTGAGAGAGAGATCACTAGATTACTCAAACACGTCTGGACGCTTCTGATGAGCGACAACGTTTAGAGAAAGAAAAAAAAAAAAAAGATTTTGCAGAAGTGTGAGGGGGCGGGGCTTACAGGTGAGTGTGAGGAGGCGG